AATATAAGTGTAATCCGGACATACTACATTTGTTAGTGTCGTGTAGCCAGACCTTCAGACTGACGGCAGAAGGTCTGGGAACCTTGGCCGCTTTGAATGGCCAAGGACCACCCAAAAGGCCATATGACTGACAGGTAAAGCAACCAATCACGTTTCATTTTGTGCCGCATCATGTTTAAGGCCATGGAAATGTCCCCACAATTACAGACCAGTGTGTAAAACTCTTGGAGACTATGCCTTGAACTTTACATATTTCACATACTTTTGAAAATCCAGCATTTAGTTGATTCTGACAAGCGCTCACTGTCACAATTGTAAATGTGACGGCTTTGTTCTTCCATGAGGGGGTTTGGTGCCACGGCATCTTTGTTTCCAGGTGGAACGTTAAAGAACGTTACAGACATGTCTCCCGGAAATCATGTAGAATTCAACCAGTCAACCAATCAGATGACGACTTCGACAATCCTGAAGTGTTTCCAGTAAAGTGTGCCATATGCATCAGACGTTCAGCCAACAGTCCGTGGGCGTGGTGTCTTGAGGCTGAGACTAAACATTTGTCATGTTGCCAGTGTCATGTGACCCTACTGTCCCAGCATCCGTTACGTCCATCCACTGCCATGCACAAATCCTCTCATGGGAAAGTAGTAAATTGCCCACTGGATGTGCACTTCAGAATCTTGCTGGAAATAGTAGGTCATCTGGGTACTTTAGGCCCACTGATTTATGAATATTGTGAATTTGAACATACTATTATTCACATACTAGTTTTTGCATGCTATATAGTAGGGAAGTATGCATATTTGGATGTAGCCACAGTTATGGTGCAACTCTTTTACTAGGGGAATTATACAGAGCTCCAAACATGATGTAGGAAAACAAAAAATATTAATAGTGTCCATGAATCAGCAATTTGTTCCCACAACTTACTAATTTGTTACCTCATTTTAGAACAGGCTATTCACAAATCATTCAATGAGCAGAACGGATCTGCATAAAATGAGGTAACAAATTAGTAAATTGTGCGCAGTATGTGCTTAAAACAAGGTAACGAATTACTAAATCATGCTCACGATCGATTACTTCAACGATGAGACGAATTAGTAAATCGTGCAGACATACTAGTAAGTAATGGGATGAATTGTTAATTCATGGACACAATTTTTTTTTTTTTTTCCCCAGCATGTCATGTCCGGAAGTTCATAGATTTAAAAATAAAGGTCAACATAACTAAAAAGGTGTAGACAGTTTGTATAAAGCAGGGGTGTTCAATCCTGCTCCTGAAGGGCCACTGTCCTGCAGAGTTTAGCTTCAACACCAATTAAGCACACCTGAACAGCTAATCAAGGTCTTACTAGTATACTTGAAATTTCCAGGCAGGTGTGTTGAGGCAAGTTGGAGCTAAACTCTGCAGGACACCGGCCTTCCTGGACCTAGTTTGGACACTCCTAGTATAAAGACTCAGAAAAAAATAGATAACAATGGAAGCAAAGTGATACAAAGACAAGGGAGATACTCACCATTCAGGTAGTCAATAAAATTAACTGTCAGCTTACCCAGGTTAAAAAAGTGCACTTCCATAATGTATTTAAATTGCTCTATTTTCACGCACTAATTTTGTACTTAATATACTAAAAATTATTCTTTAGTACTTCTTACGATAAACTTAAGATCACCTAAGTGTACTCAACTGTGCTATTTTGCATGAATAAGAACTAAATAAAAATAAATAAAAAATAAAATGTGCTTTTAACATACTATCTCTGTATTTAAAAAATGTATTTAGTTACCACTTGTAGTACACTTGAACCTATCTTTCATACACTAGTACACTCAAGTGTACAACAAGTGATATCTAAATACATTATGGAAGTGCACTTTTTTCACCTGGGTAATGGTACCATACATAATGCAATTGTTTAAGAAGGAAAAATACAAAAATTTAAAGAATGAAGCTTCTATATAAGTAGTTACTTGGAATGCCAAAAGCATTTTTTTTTTAAAGACGCATATGACAGCTCTTGTCAATTTCAATCCTAGTTAATGTACTGTTAATGTACTGTTGTACCCAGTTATCACTTGGTTCTCTTTAAGTAACCTTCTCTTTTAAGGGTAAATGTATAAGGGTGACATGAAGCAAAGTTGACTTTGACAGTCCATTTAGCTGAATAGAGGTAGAGGAGTTAGTCGAAACCGTGAGTTAAGGGTAAAAATAGGGCTGCACTGGCCTTGACATACCCACCACAAGAAACATCTGCATGCAGAATTTGAACATCCCACTTAGCTTCACATGCACATTTTGTACGTTCAAATTATTTGTAGATTATCTAGAGAAAGCAGGATAACCTAATTAGATCATGCCGAGTTGCGGACACAAGGAATATTCTTGGTTATTCAGTGGCCAGCATTCGTGGCAGGTGGTTGATTACTAAAGAATTTTGACATCCTTCAGTTTGTAAAAATGAATAGAAAACACATTTATTGTCATACAGTACTTTTGCAGCAGTCGAAGCAGGTCAGTAGGCCAAAGCATTAAGAAGCAGAAATGTGAAACTTGTATTTTTTTTAAAGCATGTTTATGAATTGTTTGTTAATGAAGCTTAAGGTGGAACTACTTTTCTGGGTGGAAGAACTTCTGGGTTTGTTTTATCCATGTAAATCCTGTGGGTTGAGTGTGAAGAGACATAATTTACAGATTACATTATGTCACACCCCTGTTGTATCCTTAGCAATAGTTCACCTAAAGCTGTAATTATTTACTCATCCTCATGTCATGACTTACTTTCTTCTGTGGAATACAAAGGAAGATAATTTGAAGAATGTTTCAAGTTATTTTGTCCATATAATGCAAGTTGGCAAGGTCCAAATTAACACTGGACCCTACTGACTTTTATTTTGAGTATTTAATAGAAAGTAATTCTGGAAGTTTGGAAGGAAATCAGGAAAATTACAACATTTTCGTTGTGGTCATTAAAAATGTCACTGATGCTTAAGTTGTTAAGTTGTAAATAATGTAGGATTGGGTTGAAGAGTTTGAAATGTACATACTTTTAGTATCCAGTGAAATAACTTAAGTTAAATGGTAACAGGTAATGTATATCCTCCCCACAGTTAAAAACATTTTATGTTGTCTCTGCATTTTTCTTCACCCACATAAGAAACCAGCCCATCTCTTGGCTTTGTCAGCTTTTTCCAAGGGTGCCAGCCATCCAGGGTTAGACACTAGCATGCCAGAGGACGCCATGCAAATTACAAAGCATCTTCAAGATTTACTCCATCTGAGGTTGGTTGTTTAGCAGACAGAGCAGTCAAGCTGTAAGATGAAGCTCCAGAGTAATTTATCTCAGCTTTACATCTTCTCTATGCTGGTTCACCATAATTAATGGCGTACTACAGAGTGCTGTCTCCCAAACAGGATTGTTAAGGAATCACATCACAAGATCTTTATAACCCAAGAATCACGACCCGTCAACTTCTGACTTGACCCATTATTGAATTGGCCCACTAGATCTGCAGATCACCTATTTCTAGATTTAATCATTAAAAGTGCCCCTATTATGCCACTTTTAAGGTTCCTAATATTGTTTTGGGAGTCTCCTACAATAGTTTTACATGTTTTCTCAAAATATGCATTTAATATCACCTCATTTTCCAACGATTCACAAACAATTTGTTTGAATCGATTCTAAGATTCAGTTTCTCTAAATCCCTCCTTTCTGTGAGTCTACTCTGCTCTGATTGGTCAGAAGGCCCAGTCCGTTGTGATTGGTCTACCGCGTACAGCGGTGTCAGAAACGATATGCTCATTGCTATAGTTCCGTATTTTGAAAGCTCGATAGAACGTATTTATTATTTACATACTTGTGATTCAGTGAAGCCAGCTGGTCCAGATAAACTGAGTACTAAGCCATCTTTCAAGAGCAAGAGTTTCGTGGATCCCGCATTGAACTCCCCAAGATTAGAGAAGCAGTCGTCAGTAAAATGACGGGAACACAAAAAAAATATTGGGGTTGTACTGCTGTAGTACAGTGGGGAAAAAAATTTGAATTAGAATTTTAACCACTGATTCTTTGCAGCCTCATCTTTCAGAAGTGAAAATAAAACGAATTTACTTTCACAGCATAGGACACGGAGTCTTCTCGACATGATGTTAACCACACGAACAAGCTAGTGTTTGTGGGGCGGGTTGAGCTGTTCGCGACCAGCCAACATAGAACATAAGCGGGCATTATGCAAATGTGTTACCCCATAACGTGTAGCCGTCACGGAAGTGGAATTCGAATTATTGACGACTTTGTTTAGGCTGTTCAGAGTCAATTCTTTTGTTTTGGGAGACATTAACTTTATTTATTGGGCACTTTCGGCTTTACAACTTTGCAGACTGATTATATTCACATACAGCTACATTTCACACTGCATTAAAGGCAATATTCGAAATGGCATAATAGGGGCACTTTAAATATACAAGTTAAATATATAAAAAAATATAAACATACTTAAATATATAATAGTTGCACAAGTACACATGGCGCAGAATAAGTTAGGGAATAGGGATATATAAGCAAAATAGTAATACCTTAGCAGGTGCTACTAAGGGAACGTTTACACGACACCTTTTTTAAATAAAAATGGAAAACGTTTTATTCATTTTGGTCATTAATTTACGCAACAATGGCGCTTTAAATTTTGAAAACAAGTTATAAAGTACAAGTTTTTGAAAATTATACCGTTATTGCCTCTACGTAAACGACAAAATGCAAATTTGCGAAAACAGTTCCTCATTCGCATACATATTACGTGTTTATGTAGTGTTTCTTTACAAAGTGACATCGCCAACTACTGGCCTGGCATACAGCATTTTAAGTCATTTTCCCGGATCATTCCGACAAGTGTTGTTGTCATCTGTACATGAAAAACGCAAAGGTCAAATTTTTATTTTTAGCACACTGTTGTTGTGTAAATGTAAAAGTAAACAAGATTTACAAGAACAAATTCATTGTCTTGTTTATTGAGGCAAACAGGCCAAAACAGTCTTCTATTCAACAGCAGTTCACAAATGTTGCATATTTATATAGACATTCATATTTAACAAGACAGTATGCTAGTTGAACAGTTCAGAAGAGCCAGCTAGCTATAGATAGTAGAAGTTGTTGCACTCAACCTTTTTTGCAGACTTAATACAGCTCGTCAACACCCAAAGTAAAATTGTGTTGAATGTGGAGTCATTATTTTCTGAAACAGAAACTTCGGCTATATCAGGGTAAGAACGGCAAACCATTTGACATACAGCGGTCTAAAGCAATTCATGCTTTGTTAAAAAAATTTTCTCAACTTATTGAACAGTGAAAGAAAAAAGTTCACATTTTTGGAATTATTTAACTACATATGAGAGTATGTTTGAAAATATCCATCTGTACATTAGTTAAAAGTATTGTTGAATTTTGGGGGCCAGAGAGGAATTTATGCAGGTGATTAATACTTAACGTCCCATTGTTGGCATGGTAACAGCGGGGGACTTCAGGGTAGCATCTTCTGCCTTCCACTGCGAAGTAACAGTTTTGATCTGTGTGTAGAACTGAATGCCCTGTGATGGAAAGAATAGCAAAATACTAAAGACTAAACAATGACTCAAGATTAGTCATCTTCTTTTTAATACCCTCTCAAAATGACAATGACATCACATGAGAAATGGCAGGTGGCTGGCAAACTTACGCTGGCGGGAACAATAAACCACTTGCGTCAAAACATGTCAGTCATTGTTTTATGACAAACTACAGCTGACGAAATTTTATACCAAAACATATTTTACAGCCAAACTCAAATGGCAAACCAAATGGACCATGCCTGTGACCTGATTTTAAACTTCAGCCGGTTCATTTGGGGAAGATGTGGCCAATAAATTCTCCATTTTCTATTCATTTATTTTTTTTATTTTTTTGCTCCATGGCAGAATGTAAATACAATTTTTCTTTTTTTTTTTTTTTTCAATTTAGTATTTTTTTTATTAATTGTATAATTGAATTGAGTATCTGTATTTCTGTATTTTACATAGTCTTTGACAAAAATGCAATTTTCTCTGCTTTTTGTTCAAAATGTTTCTTTATGAAACTTACCCACATTCAAGTTTTTTTTTTTTCTTTTTTACATGCAGAAGCTCTGTTCTTTCTTTTGACATATTGCATGTTCAGACATTCATACAACAAAATATTCTGGGGGCCAATACATTTTGTAAAAAAAATGATAAAAAATGCTGACTGTGGCTGGCAGATTTTTTTAAAAACACTGGCAGCAAAAGAGCTAAATGACTATTGTATTTTAGTGTCTAATATAGATCTATTCCGCAAAGCATAATATCACAAGCACTATATCCAGTCGCAAATACTTACTTGCTTTCCATAGAAATTGGTGTCACCCCTGAAGGAGCCTCTGGAACCGGTGAACGAAAACATGGGCAGTGGGACGGGGATTGGTACATTAACTCCAATCTATAAAAAAAGCAAGCAGTACATTAACAGACGTCTCAGAGGTCAGCTGCTTTTGCCCTCATGAGCAGTCATGTTCTCTGCATCTCACATATCTGACACACTCACACCCTGATGACAGTTAAGACAACAGTGTACCCGTCAGACGCAAAGGCATTTTTGTCTGCCGCAGAAAGCTGTATGCTTTCCTCACGTCTCTAGACACCATGTGGGAGAGACGGTTTGTAAATTCTATACATTACCGCTTCACGTTAGTCTCGCTGCTCAAAGTAAACCTAGAAATCTCACCATACAAGTGTAGCTCCAACCTTTCCAGTGTGTATTGAAGAGCATGTCCACTGCGCTTCACTGTCAATGTAGCAATTAAAGTCCCGAAATAGGACAGTTTAAAATGAGTGTTAACCTTTACTAGATAGCAAACAAAAGCAAGGGAATGATCCCAGTAGATTTTTTTTTTTTTTTTAAGACGGTTTCTTCAACTAAGTGCCCGGAGGACCCTATTAAAAACACATTTGACGATATCAGAAGTTTAATTTGTCTCCTAAATTTTCACAGAGAAATTTCCACATATCAAAATGATGTTTATTAGCTGGAATTCTTTTAACAAAATCGCTGATTTCTTCTCTTAACCTACATACATGTAAATAATATTTTTGCATACACTGACAGTTAAAGCTGGACCTGAAATGATGCACAGAAATATTTTTTTTTTTTTAAATCACATTTCATATTACACTGGGGTAAGGGGTACTTCGGACAGAATTGATAGTAATAATTTTCACACAGTAAATATCAAAATGATTCATGATTATTACACTTTTTAGATTACTGTAGATTTAAATATTTAAAATTCATATGTTCACATCATATATTCATATGACGGATCTTCATATTTTAAAACAGTGATGAAATTGAAGAAGCAATAGATCTTTCTTCCATAATGTCACATGTGAGTGAAACAAATTACCAAAAAAGTAGATCGGTTGTTCAATTTATTAGCTGTTCACTGGATGGAGGCAGATCTGAATGCGAGCTTGCGGTCAGCTGTGTGAAAAGGACAGGATTTATGTGGACTAAATGATTGGAGAAGTCTGGCATATGTCACTAGAGAAAAGTCTGCCGCTTCACTGGAAGATCCAATTATGACATTTTTAACGAGGTTAAATAAATAAATAAATGCAACTAAACATACATTTGGGTGAATCACTCAATAATACTCATTTAGAAAAAATAATAATTTCATGCCTAATTTAAGTTTCAAAGTCTGATTATGTGACAATGGTTAAACAATTACATCAATGCACAAAGGCCATTTGAAATGTAGCAAATATACAGTGGTGTGAAAAAGTGTTGGCCCTCTTCCTGATTTCTTATTTTTTTGCATGTATGTCACACTTTAATGTTTCAAATCATCAAACAAATTTAAATATTAGTAAAAGATAACACAAGTGAACAACTTTTAAAGGGGTCATATGATGCGATTTCAAACATTAAAGTGTGACAAACATGCAAAAAAATAAGAAATCAGGACTGATCACACCACTGTAAATGATGGCATGGTTAAAAGTTGTAATATTATATTTATGTAACAAAAAGTAGTTTAAAGTTGTTCTAATAAAAATAAAAGCCTGAGACTTAAAAGTATCTGAAGTTGAAGAAACGAACATCTTTGCTTTGAGAACAAGCTGCTGTTGGGCTTCAGCTGTGTATGGAAAGTGTGGAACAATCAGCTCATTCTATTGAATGTGTTGACGAAGCAGTCGACACACAACTGAACGCCACAATCTTTTGATCTTGAAATGTTTTTTTTTTAAATGCGGTTGAACAATTTGAGCCTTCTGGCCGAAGGTGACTCGTGAGGGAATGGACGGAGCGAAAAAAGCAAAAGGAGGTTCTTGTATGCGGGGGTTTTGGAGGCCAGCTCAGCACATGGCCCGTGCCGTGTACTCCAGCATGTGAATCGCAAACACACGGCATAGCTGCTCGCCACGGGCAAACAAACCAGGTAAAAAGGGGGCCGTTTTTGATCAACAGGTTGCAAAGGGATCCCTTTTGAGTTTAATTTAAGACTTTGGGCTTTACCAGCAAAATATTTTGGCACAGTGCTGTTTTGATTAAAAAGCACATATTTGCTGTGAACTATTTGTAGTGCACATGTTTTCTGGTCGCAGCTGTACATTTTCAAAGCTGTGGCAAACAAGGTAAGTCCAAATGGAAAAAAAAATTCTGTTTTTACATAGATTTTTAAAGGAAGGCTTGTGCTACCCCTAGTGTATATATGGCCACTAAAGAGGCAAGACTTACATCCAAACCGTGCTTCTTGGCTTTGGGTCGGGGAGTGGCGCCAAGGGGATTTTACACATTTCATTTACATCACGTTCTAATATTTACTCTAGAGGTGTGCCTGGAACTCTTCACCTACAATGGTCTTGTCAAGAAGAGCCTACATGACGTGGAGGAGCCCAATACGACATAAGTGAACATCAGCATGTCTAGGTCGTCTATAAGGAGGCAGTTTTCCAGTCACAGACTGACCCGAGGTCTCTCAAAGGTCTGACTCTTGCATGCACCTATTTCAAGTCACACAGATACTGATTTGACACTGTTAGGGGCCATTTATCCATTCCAATGCACTACTTTTCCATTGTTTTTCTAAGTACACGTGTGAGACAGACGTGTATGACCGTTCATGTCTCGCACATGAGTTCTGTGTTTTTAAGACAGCGTGTGAAGTTAAAAGATTTTCAACTGTTACTCGCAACGCCGCTCAACCAATCAGAAGACGTACTTATAATGGCTGTGTCCGGATACACTGATTTATACACCATTTTTTGAAATGATTATGACAATCTGTTTCTTAAAAGAATACAGTAGCTTTCTATTCTGCTGTTTGGCTGTTTATATAATTTTCATTTTATCACGTGTCTCAAAACCACGCATTCTGCACAGCGTTTAAAAAAAAAAAAGCATTCCTGAGTGCTGCGTCTCGCATTTTTAGATGCAAAGACACTTTCTGTGTGAACAGCCCATTACACTGCATATCATTAGTAGGGCTGTTTCTATATAATCAGATACTGATATACCATAATTTTTTTCTTTTAATATAGCATCAATATGTTTATTGATATGAGCATTCCCATTTCCTGCAGTCCAATGAAGAACCAGGTCACCCAAATACACTCTAAAACAAGATATTCCAATGGGGTAGCTATTGTGCATTTAAAGGGATAGCTCACCCAAAAAATTTAAATTCTGTTATTAATTACTCACCCTCATGTTGTTCCAAACCCGTAAGACCTTTGTTCATCTTCAGAACACAAATGTGACCCTGGACCACAAAACCAGTCTTTTAAATTTTTTGAAAGCTGAATAAATAAGCTTTCCATTGATGTATGATTTGTTAGGATAGGACAATATTTGGCCGAGATACAACTATTTGAAAATCTGGAATCTTTTTATTTTACAAAATATCTTCATGGAACTTGATATTTACTTAATATCCTAATGATTTTTGGCATAAAAGGAAAATCGATAATTTTGACCCATACAATGTATTATTGGCTAATTGCTACTAATATACCTGTGCTACTTATGACTGGTTTTGTGGTCCAGGGTCACAAATTAAGATATTCTTGATGAAATCCTAGAGCTTTCCTGACCCTGCATAGACAGCAATGTAATGGACACGTTCAAGGCCCAGAAAGGTAGTAAGGACATAGTTCATGTGACATCAGTGGTTCAACCGTAATTTTATGAAGCTACGAGAATACTTTTTGTGTGCAAAGAAAACAATTTCTTCTCCTCTGTGTCAGTCTTCAACACACGTTCACGAGACTACCTTTCTGGGCCTTGAACGTCGTAGTACCGTTGCGGTCTATGCAGGTTCAGAACACTCTCGGATTTCATCAAAAATATCTTAATTTGTGTTCCGAAGATGAATGAAGGTCTTACAGGTTTGGAATGACATGACGTTGAGTGATTAATGACAGAATTTTCATTTTTTGGTTAACTATCGCTTTAAGTTATTAGTGCACTTATGAAAGTTTGATGCATTGGAAATTTGTATTATAAACCCAGCCCTGTTCATGATGTATATTTATAAAAAATAAAAAATAAATACTCACCTGACCAACATCGACTTCATGAGTGTATTTACGGGCCGCTGCACCGTTGGTGGTGAAGATGGCAGTTCCGTTGCCATATGGGTTCTTATTGACTATTTTAATGGCATCATCCAAGCTGTCAGCCTCCAGGACCACTAGCACAGGTCCAAATATCTCCTCATTATAGCACTTCATGTCCGGCTGAAATTAAAGTAGGACAAACAACAAGTGGACAACATTACATGGTCTTTGCATGATACTGGCATGTTCTAACTTACAGCAATTAAAGAGATTTCCTTACTACCATGTTGTTGCAAACATATAGGACTTTCTTTAGTCTATGGAACGAACAATTCGATATTGCAAAAAGCTGTTTTAGCCCACCTGAAAGTCATTCGGGTCCAAAATAACACTGAACCTCATTGACTTTCACTGTCTGGATTAAAAAAAATATATATCTTTTTTGGTGTTTCACAGAAGAAATAAATCATACAAATTTGGAAAGACATGAGGTTGAGTAGCTGGGATTCATTTATTCATTTAGTAGACACTTTTATCCAAACCGATTTACAATTGAGAAATACAACAAGCGATTCATTATAAAGAGGCAAATAAATACAGGACGCACTCGTAATACAGCACTTGAACACTTCTTGTACAACCTTGTAGGCATTGTGGCTCTCACCGTGACACTGCTAATGATGGTTGGTCCAACAAAGTTGCCGTTTTCGTAACCCTTGACCTTCACGTTCCTGCCGTCAAGCAGCACCTTGGCACCCTCATCCACACCACTCTGAATAAGGCTGTTGACTCGCTGTTTGGCCTGAGGCGAGATGAGAGGTCCCACATCAGCTCCGGGCTGGTCACCTTACAGAACAAGCAAGAGAAGAAACAGGAAAATAAAGACATGATTAAGAAGCTATGGAGTTTTTACAAAATGCACTTAAACTACAGCAATAACATATTCCATCAGAATGGAAATTCATTCCGAAATCCTTCATTTTCATCACGTGGCACTATGTTACAAATGCTAAATGAACATACTATTCACTACATAACTAATGGTAATACTGAAGCAAAAATCAGATCACATATAAATGTGTGAATTCATGTCGTCAGTAATTCAGGTCACAACCTAGATGCACCAATTTGCTGAATTATTACTGTACTGTAGAGTTAAGTGGATAGCTAGCAGAAATTGTAGCAGTTTGTCTTCCAAACAACAGTTTAGTTGGTTAACCAAAAGTTTAGACATCCTAAAATCTGGAGAAATGGTTTCTGTATCGTTTGTTTTGTTGATTTTTGCTGACTTTCCTTTAAATTACCCCTTTTTACTGGGTTGCAACCAAAGGGATTGGTACTGGCATATCCAAACACATACGAACAAACACACAGCCACACACACACAATTTTAGATACCCTGAGGCAATATGTCTTAGAGGTCTGTTATAGGGTTTCAGAATAGCTGCTGCGGTTTTGCTTCTCTGATTACAATTTTCATCTGCAGAATTTTTTTCAAACATTTGATCAGCCCATGCTAATTTCTGGTCCCCTTTATACCACAAAATGTGCTTCTGCTTTGTGGCATGACCAAGACAAATAGTGCGTCTATCCTCTGGGTGAGCTGAACATGCTTTAAGTTGCTCAGGGAGAGGTGTGGTCATGAAGGCATGGGTGGTCTACGAAAAGGCCAAAAAAGAGGGATAAAACAAACTGAATGAATTCAGAGAAACTCTACATGGAGAGGAACTACGGAAGAGAGATTTTATTCAATGAATGTCATGTAAAAATAGTCTAAAGAGACTATTTTTACTATTTTATCTAATTATTGTACATGTTTTCCTGGTATAGCATAGTGTTTCCTAGTCTTGGTGGTCCCAGAAATGCAAATAACTAAATTGGTCAATATTGTGTCACTGTGTACTAACTAACTTGTAGTAAAAAAAGCTTTTTTTTTTTACTGAGAACAAATATGGGACCTAACAGAACCACAGCCAATTGGCATATTTAATGTTTTACGAAATATCATTGGTCTAAAATTTTGTTGCATGCCTTTCATTGTAGCTATTTAGGATTATTGCTCTAGGTATATGTAAAATTGTTCACATTTTGCTCCATTTCACAAACCGTTGAGTGCGCCAACCTTTGAAAGTGCAGATGGACACGTTTGCTGCAATGCAACCAACCTAAGTGATATTCGATAACTTGCTGGAACGTGGACATATTTTGGACTTTATTGTATTGCGCCTGACTAGGACACAGTGCTCCACAGCCCAAACTCGATCAGATTTGTGAGACACATAAAAAAAAAAACACAAAAAATCTCAAGTACCTGCATTGACACGGAGACCCTTTGCACGTTCAACCAGCTCAGGCAACCAGTCTCGTGCTTCTCCTACAAGGACGGCAGTGGAAAGTGCCATACATCTCTGACCTGCTGCTCCAAAAGCAGCACCAACAAACTGGTTTAGTGTGTTCTCTTTGTTAGCATCAGGCATCACCACACCGTGATTCTTCGCCCCCTGGTGGACAGAAAATGAGATTATAAGGAAGCAGCTCCACATTTTCACCAAACTACAAATTCTAGCACTAACACAATGAGTGAAAACAGGCAAAGTAAAAGTGGGTGAAGAAAATGTGATGGACCGCAGACCTTGAAAACCGTTCTAATAGACTGGCATAAGATTCAGATTCAAAATTCAAGTTGATTTGCAAAACTACAATAATCTGGAAGAGATTGTGGTAGTGGAGGGGGTGGTTGTGGGGTTTAAGAAAAGTGAGTTTATCTGCAGTGGGAGCAAAGGAGGTGGGATCTTCTGTATTAAATCCAAGGCATTTGAATAATGATAGTGTATGTTTTTCCATAGTTTAATGTATTACACTGCTGTCCATCATCTTTGAGTCTCTCATGCTAACTGTGAAGGCAATAAAGAATGCAAAGGAGTCATCTCCAATTTCCTGAATCTTGAGTCTAAAATTGCAGCCTCATTATGGAGGTTAAGAATGAACCAGAATGATGCAGATTCATTTGTAACCACATGCTGCCACCATCTGGCCACTGAAGTTGTACTGAGAAATTATATACGTGAGCAGTGGTAACAAAGCTACAAAGTTGGGAAAAAGTAGCTTGTTACTGGAAAAGTTACACTGTTTAAAAGCATCTGAGCTATTGTCATGCTACTAAAAATCTCGCATAGCTATTTTAGCCAATTACTCCACCCCCTGTACATTTTAGAAGATGATCTTGGCCATTTTTTTCTATATACTAAGAAATTGCAAAAACACCATATAGATATAACAAAAAGTCCCATATTGCTCAAGCACTGCAGTAAATTCTAAGTATTTACTGACTGATGATGACTTCTGACACCTAAATGCCACTTCAGAAGCGCTTCTGTGCCACCTTTGCAGTGTAAATTTGGCACTATTAAACAGATTTGTTCATTACCTTTTAGTATGTTGAAAAGTGTGGCCAGGATATTCTCCAAAACTCACTTTTCATGTTCAATGGAATTAAGTAAATAATATGGAACTACTCACTTAAAGAAGTTTAGACATCTTAAAGGAATAGATCACTCAAAAATGAAAATTCACACTAACGTTGTTCCAAACCTATAAGCCCGATTAATCATTGAAACAAAAATTAAGAGATTTTTAATGAAACCAGTAAAGTTTATGTCCCTCCATTGAAAGTCCAGTTAACCAAAACTTAGGAAATGCCAAAAGATCATAACGTCATCATAAAACAAATCCATATCATATTTGCTATAAGTTTAATCGCAACATATAATCATTGCAGTTAATAGTGTTCACCGTCTGTTTGACTACATGTCATTAACTAACTGCGTGAATTTTACTGAATATTTCTGCCATATGGACATCAACTTGAGATAGTCACCACTGATAAGCTACAACTAAATATAATGTAGAAACTTAAATTTTCTGTAAAAGTGCTTTGCAACGATTTGTATCGTGAAAAGCGCTATACAAATAAACTTGAATTTAATTGAATACTAATCAAGCGGCAACAAGCTTCCGTGACTACCATATGTGATGTGCTCTATGTATGTGTATTTATGAGAAAATGAAAGCCTAAATTAAACCGGTCTTCACAAGACTTTAACCGCTCATTGTACAGTATATGTATTTGGTTTATGATGCCTTTATGACCTTTCTGGTTACCTGGAGTTTCAATTAAACGACAGAAACTTCCCGAAGCTTAACCTAAATTTTATGGGTTTAGTACAACAAGAGGGTAATGTAAATGAAAGAATTTTTATTTTTAAGGTGAACTATCCTTTTAAATTCAGAGAGGCTTAAGTATGATTTTTTTTTGCTCATAACTGAACAGACTTTCACATGCAATACAGTTTTCTGTGAAATACATTAATTTCATGCTCAGAACCAACCATGTTGCTCTGTACTCTTTTGCCATTTTTGGAGCCTCTCTCATAGATGTACTCGCCAGCCTGGTTGGAGCCTACAAAACTGATGGCTTTGATGGCAGGATGGTCACAGATGAAGTTCACAGCTATAATAACACATGGGAAAAAAATCATTTTGTTATCTCCACACAGAATCTGGATCATAATGTGGTCAAAATATTTATAACCCTTCTGCTTCTATAATTTTCCATACCGTCATGCTGTCCGTGAATTATGTTTAATGTTCCATCTGGAGCACCGGCGTCCTGCAGCAGTTTGGCCAGCAACATGGCGCAGCCAGGCACCCTCTCTGAGGGCTTCAATAAATAGCTGTTCCCGCACACCATGCCCATTGGGAACATCCAGAGTGGAATCATGGCAGGGAAATTGAAGGGGGCTATACCGGCGCATACGCCAATGGGCAACCGGTATGTGTATGTGTCCATGTCTTTAGTGATGGAGGGGAGGGTCTCGCCCAGCATAAGGGATGTGATACTACAGGTGTGCTCCACCACCTCTGCAAGACCAACAAACAACTACAGTAAATAATGTGAAGGCACACAAACAAAATGTGCAAACAGTTATAAGGCCAAAAACTTTCTTAGGTCCTGTATCACTATCTGTAGCACTACAAAAAATATCCCAAGTTATTTTCAACCTTTTATTATTTTCAATGCTTATTTTGTCATTCAAAGGTTTGGGGTTGGTAAGATTTTTTTTTTTTATGTTTTTGAAAGAAGTGTCTTATGTACCTACCTTAAAAAATAGAGTAATTACTGTAAAATATTAACATTTAAAAATACACTTTTAATTTTAATCCATTTAAAAATGTAATTCATTCCTGTGATGGCAAAGCTGAATTTTTAGCATCATTACTCCAGTTATCAGTGTCACATGATTTTTCAGAAATCATGCCAAGATGCTGATTTGCTGGTCATAAAACATATCTTATTATTAGCAATGCTGAAAACAGTTGTGATGCCTACAATTTTTGTGAAAACCATAATACTTGTTTTCAGGATTCTACACAGAAAGTTTAAAAAACAGCATTTATTTGAAACACAAATATTTTATAACATCATAGATGTCTATTGTCACTTTTCATTAATTGAATAATTATTTCTTTTAAAAAAGTATTAATTTCATTAAAAAAAAATGATAATAATAACAATAATCTTACTGACCCCAAGCCTTTGGTAGTGGTAGCGTTTGGTAGTGTACAGGAATTCTCATTTTAAAATAAAATCACTTGTGAATCCAACAATAAAGTACTAACTGTCCTTTGAGACCACTTTTTTTTTTTTTTTGACGGAGCAACTTCTGGATTTTACCTGGAATTTTTTAGGTTTACATTTTTGAGTTTGTTATGACTAGACATAACTGGACACAAACAGATTTGATTATATCACACATTTGCGGTGCTTAAACCTCCTTTATAAGGTTATTTACTGTAAACGCATTCTGCTTGTCTACAATTTAAAGGATTTAAAGGATGAGTCAAAATGATTGTCTGTAGTAACAGTCAGTATGGGTTGGTGCGTACTGTAGTCATTGGGTTGAAAGTAACTGACTATTCCTTATAATGTTCTACACTCTACAGTCTTAAAGGGGTCATATGATGCGATTTCAATTTTTCCTTTCTCTTTGGAGTGTTACAAGCTCTTGGTGCATAAAGAAGATCTGTAAAGTTGCAAAGACTAAAGTCTCAAATCCAAAGAGATATTCTTTATAAAAGTTAAGAGTTAACCACGCCTACCTAAAACAGCTCATTCTAACACGCCCCCACATACCTACCTCACTATGTGGGAAGATTTGCATAACGCCGCCCAAATGTTCACGCAAAGAAAGAAGGCGTAACTTTTATTCTCGCTGTAGTATTGTTGCTGTCGTGAAGACGCTGTGTGTTTTATTGTGAAAGTGAAACTACTTTGTTTGGTCTTCCAAAAGAGGACGATATTCGCTTCGTCATGCCTAGAGTTGATCTGTGCTGGTCGCTGAGGGAACACATCAACTTTGCGCTGTGGATTGCCGGATCGGCTTTCACCGTGGACGAAGCGGAGTTCAGCCCGGGGTCGTCACATGTGGTTGCCGCTCCTTCGTCGGATCCGCCGGCCGTGCCGTTTCTCAACCCCGCTGCCTCAGCTCACTCTAGCCCGGCCTCAGCTCACGCTAAGCTGCGGCTCACGCTAGCATAAACATTTCATTACACCAAATACACAAAATAATGTTCTTTTTAGCAGCATCATATGACCCCTTTAATTACTACATTCAGGAATTAACTAACATGGCACTAATTGCTCTTAATATTACTACAGAACTGTCTCAAGAATGAGAAACTCACGCAGTCCTCTGAACACATCACCCTCAGCATCAGCCAGGGTTTTTCCCTGCTCCAGGGTTATCAGCTTGGCCAGCTCTTTCTGAAACACAAATCAAATCACATATACATTTAGCAGGCAGTAAGGCAGAACAATTAATCAAATATGGCTTAGTGCAATTATCAAAAGGTTGGAATTTAATTAAATAAATATGCACTGCATGATTCAGAGACCATGATTCAGTGTTTTAGAGCGGCTTGGTCTGCAGTAAATGCTGCTCCACTTGAATTACATCTCTGATAAATATGCACTGCATGATTCAGAGACCATGATTCAGTGTTTTAGAGTGGCTTGGTCTGCAGTAAATGCTGCTCCACTTGAATTACATCTCTGCATCTGCTCTGAGTTTGGGTTGTGCCACCCATTTCACCATATTTGTAATAAGCGTTTACAAACCTGTTGCCAACAAAAGAGAATTTTCAAGGTCTCCCTGCAGTTTTGTTTTTTTTAAAGCTTTATGGTTTATGTTTGAAAATGATGAAATTAAGAAAGAAATTCATATTAAAGGGGTCATGAACTGCCTTTTTTACTATATTATACTGTTCTCTGAGGTCCACTTATAATGTTACCAAGATTTTTACATCAAAAACATCATCATTTAGAAGTAACGGGCTATTTTCTGTCCTGTTTTTGACCCCCTCATCAGAACGCTCTGTTTGAATGGGGTAGACTCAGAAGTAAACGCCCACTGCTGTGATTGGCTAACAGTTGTGAATGTTTGACAGTCTGCATCCTCCCTAGATGGATGCTGTTGTGTTTTAGTTTAAAAACGCATAAATACTCACATCAAACAATCTGTAATAACAGACAAAGCAATAGTGACCACGTAATAAAAACAGTTTAAGGCCGTTTCACACCGAGTGCGATGCGAAAAAGCGAGGCGAATCGCCAACGATCATTGCTTGAAGCGTAAAACAATTGATCGCCTTCTGCTAATTCATGCCTGCACGGTAGGTGGCGCTGACCAGCAATGCATTTTTTCCTAATGTAGCCTATGTATCTCGTATAAGGCTTTTACACCGTTCACTGCTCTACACAGCATTAAATTAATATAAATAACTTTTGGTTCTTCATCAGAAACACAAACTATCCATAATGCTTACAAGAATACATCTGAAAATATAATCAGAGGTACAATTAGCATCAAGCTACATTTCAAAATGTATGTAATTATTAATGTTTTGGCTCAAACCCCACTTTAAACCATCATCGAGTGCTTCTGATTGTGATCTAAAATGGATTTTGATTCTATAGTAGGCAGACATGCACTCTTTGTATGTTATAATGGACTGAACGCTACCTGCTTGAGCGATGAAAAAAATAAATAAAAATCGACAGGACGAAAAAAAAAAATCCTCACTTTTTCACGTCGTGAATAATTGCGCCTGGTGTGAATATCCCCATTTAGGGATGAATTCTTTCGATTCAAATCATCATCGCGCTGAACGTTCACTACGTTTTTTGCGTTCAGTGTGAAAAGGCCACTCACACTTGTGTGGTGCGACATCGGATCCAGTATAATCAGCACAGCATCATCTTTTAGTTTCAATCTTTCTGAAAATCCCATGTCGTATTGTGCCTTTTTTTTTAAACCAATTTCATGGTATGAAGTGAACAAAGGACTGAGTTCTTACTGACGCGGTCTGGAACTGCATTAAAAATAAAGTTCATCCATTCTTTCCTAATGCTGCGATCAGAAGGAATTCAATGCAAAGACTGTTTTTTCCACAACTTGGCACTTCACAGCATCTTGTTGTCTTCAGAGCCATCTTTATCGTTTGGTTTCTGCATAGACCTGCGCGTACGCCTCTCTCGTAAACACTGCATGCGTGAATCAGTGGGCGGAGCTAAACAGGCAGCGATGTAGAAGCAGGCGTTGATGTTCTGCGGATGTGGTGTTTTCCACACTATTACATCATAGAGGGATACATTCCACAATCTGTCGTTTTGGCACACTGGCTTCAATATAAGCCGTTTTTACACCAATGAGAAAGTTTTAAGTTCTGAAACTTTCAGGATGTTTTTAGAGTACAATGACCTCTTATATGTCATGACCCCTTTAAAGGGTTAGTTCACCCAAAAATGAAAATTTTGGAGTACCCCAGAACGTAATCGTGCACGTGCTGAAAGTAAACAACGCTGATTACGTTGATTATGTTCTGGGGTACTCTCCAAAATGGCGGAAGACGGTAACTCGGGGAGAAGAATTGCTGAACAAATTATGTTATTATTGTTTTCTTTGCGCACAAAAGTATTCTCGTAGCTTCGTAAAATTACGGTTGAACCACTGATGTCACATGGACTCTTTTACCAATGTCCTTGATAGTATACGTTTCTGGACCTGGGAACATTGCAGTTGCATTGCTGTCTATGGGAGGGTCAGAGAGCTCTCAGATTTTATCAAAATTATCTTGATTTGTGTTCCGAAGATGTTCCGAATGTCTTACGGGTTTGGAACGACATGAGGGTGAGTAATTAATGACAGAATTTTCCTTTTTTGGTGATCTAAGCCTTTAATATTGTAATTTTACAGTTGTATTATAAATTAAAACCGTTATTATTGTTGTCGTTGTTCTTTTTCTTAAAAGCTTGCTTTTATTATTTGACAGTAAACTATTATAACAGAAATATTTTTATTTATTATTTTAATTTAATAATAACAACAATAAAATTACTTTTATTTTACTTAATAATAATAATAATAATAATAATATTTTAAATGCATTTAAAAATCACAACTACAATTTTTATGACTTTTTTCATAAAAAAAGTAATCATGATAAGCCCTAGTAGCCCTTGCCGGCAGAGTGTTTTCTTCAAAAGTCTACCTTTCAACTATTCACATTACAAATTAATAATGCACTATTAATAGAGTAACAGTTTGCACAATTCTATTAAACAGCAATCCAGTTAATGAAAACAGGGTTTCCACAGCTTTATACAAATTTTCCAGACCTAGGAATCACAAATCCCTGATATTTCCAAGTTTTCCATTGCCATGAAAGCCCAGTGAAAACCTTTCAACTGAAGATCCATCACTGTGTTACTGTACGGATCCATATTTAACAAGCATAGCAAGTGTGTAGAACAGGATCTAGTAAAATGAAACCTAAATAATACTAATTTCAACCATAAAGTCTGGTGTTGATTGGAAAATTAATAAAAAAACAAAACAAGCGAGTTGAGGATGTGCAGCAGTAACTTACAATATTGTCTTTAATGAGCAGCTGATAGCGAAGGAAGATCTGCTGGCGGGTGAGGATGGAAGTTTCAGACCATGTGTGGTACGCCCGTGAGCACGAGTCCACGGCGGCCAACATCTCCTCTTGTGTGGCCTTTGGCACTCGACCAATGACCTCGTTGGTGGCCTGAGGAAAGCGCATGCATTAGAATTCAATCACAGAGACAGTTCATCTGTAACTAATGGTTGGATTGTGGCCTTTTCTCTGCAAAGTGCTGATACAGTCACTTGTAAAAAAATAAAATAATGTAAAAAAAAAAACTCTGATTGCTGACGAAGGTTATACTTTCTTGCTGTTAACATTAACTAAACATAAAAAAACAGCACAAACGATTCAACCACTTATAACAACCAAAGCAACTTAAAAAAAAAATGTCCACCTTTTACGTACCAAAAACCCAGACTGTATTTAAACTACTCTAATGTGATATTAACCAGAGTTCCTGAAATATAGAGTGCAAATAGAGCGAAGAAACCAACAAGCAATTATTATGGCATCTACTGTGCAAAGCAGATTAAAGCAAAGCTTTAGAAAATGGTTACTCTCTATGTTTTCTCTATTGCTCCTTTTGCACATTGGTAACAGTACAAAATAATCAATGAGCAAACATTTTTAAAAATGTAAAAAGAACTAACAACATAACTGAAGCTGTTTTATATACTGATTGATGGTATAACTAAGGAAAACTAAGTAATGCAGGTGTTCTGTGTTGTCTAGTCAGGTTGATCAGCACAAATCACATGTGCTTAAACCACATTAATCTAATGGGTTTAACTTGGCCTAAGTGTGGTCAATGAATGTAATCTGTTAAACTGCTGTGTGTTAAACTGCTAAACTGATGTCTGTTAGTACAGTATGAACTTACAGGATTGTGAATGTCCAACCATTCTGGACTCTTGGATTCGACAAACTTTCCATCAATGAACAACTTGGTGGTGGGCTGAGAAAGGACAGAGAAAATTATGTAATATGAATGTAAAAAGCAAACGTAAAACACAACTCATTAACAATTACAACAATAACTTTCTCAAGAGACTGATAAGATGATAAATTGCATCTTAAGACTAGATCTGTTCAGATTTTCAGTCACGTAGTGTATTCCAGTCTTTACACAAGACAATGTCAGTGTTATTCCTCTTATAAGAGGGAGATAAAAGTCTAGAATGAATGAGTGATTGCTCTGGTCACTGTCAGATCATATAGTCTAGAGCCGCAGTCCTGCAGAGTTCAGCTCCAACCCTGAAAATAAACCTCACCTGCCTATAGCCTTAGTAATCCTGAAGACACTGATTAGCTTGTTCAGGTGTGTTTGATTAGGGTTGGAGCTGAACTCTGCAGGACTGCGGCTCTCTAGGACCGAACTTGCCTACCCCTGGTCTAGTGCAAGGTTCAGTACGAGGCAGTGGTGTGTGGTGGTCTTCAGAAATGAGGAGGCAAAGTTTCATGTGATGTTTACATTGTGTAAAGACTAAAAGCTTATGGAACAATATTGAAAACGGTTGACGACCTAGAACAACTGGACATATAAGCAACATCTATACAAAGTCCATTGTCTGCTTGCCTCATAATCACTTAACTACTGTGTTTACAAAGTTTTTGACATATTAGATAAACTTTCTCTTAACCCACATATTACTCTTAGCCCCAAGCACAAATATGCACAATACGTGGGTATTGATATACATGATACATCATCAAATACATGATAACTTACCACAGAGGAGGAGGAGTAGCACATGCGTCCCATCTGAAGAGGAACCTGCAGAACAGGTCACAGCACAGGTACAATATTAAATGATCTCCGTTATTGTGTCTGGGCAGATCATTTCATTAGATAGCAGTCAGTATATTAAACCTCATGTATAACTGCTGTGCACTTACATTTATTTAACTTGGTTTGCAATCAGCATAGAAAGGAAATTAATGGTTTATACAGCTTTCGATGAAAAGAAAAACTCTCTTTAGATACGGATAAACTGCTTTTCTGATTGCATATAGGACTAAGCTGTTGCTCAAAAGTATTCATGCATGAAGTCCAATGCTTTCTAGGACTAAGATAATAACACTAGTAGCACTTAGCGCGTATGAACTTGACAAGAACTGTCGTGAAATGATATAACAGCAAAGGTAGTATCTTTGTGGTGATTAGGCAATTACTACAACATCTTACATACTATTTTTATAGTGTATTATATATAGAGCTGCTTTCATTGTGGCTAGTGTGCAACAAAGTATCTGCTCGTGGTGTTTGACCGTGAAGTTGATACTTTGACAACATGACGTAACGTCAAACTCATACTACGTGTATGACTGTAAAATGCGATGCTTTTGTGTTTCTTACCCTCTTCTTTACAAGGGAACGCATTAATGTCGCGGCCATGATGGAATTCGTAGATTAATGTTGTATTCAGCCCCCGAATGTGCGTCCAATCCCCGCCAGAGGACGTGCGCCGAGACCTGTGCCCTACAGACGAGCCGCTTTTCCTACTGCGACTTTAAGAATGGGCGGGATATCGTGTTCAAACAGCCAATCATGTGCTAAAGCCAAATACTCCCCCAAATTCAGGAAATCTATTGGTTAGGCCTCGCAGATGATGGACCAATGGCAGTGCGCGTTTGTTTAAAGGCGTTTCTTTGATGACACAGGCACAGATCATAGGCGAGAGCTGTTGCGTAGGAAGTGATAGGATATTAAACCTGTCAATTATTAATTACAAAGACAGAAGGCATGTGACAAGTTTATGTTATACGACAAAAAAACATTAAGTACGTTATTATTTCATTTACTTCATATAATTAAGGTCGGTGAAATCTTTCCAGTTCTGATGCAAAATCATGTAAATGCATTGCTTTGAACTACAGTGTTTTGAAGTCAGAATCATTGTAGCAAATCGGTTCGTTCAAATGGTTCATTTTATATAAAAACGATTCCCTTTTTTCACGGTTTCACTATTTTTTATTTTTATTTATTTATTATTAAAAAAAATTGTAAAACAGTTGCTTACGAATGTTTTCGGTCTTGTCGTGGTTGTTCTATGACTAAATCTCTGACAGAGATCCCTCACCTATCAGCCAATCACTGTGTGCATAGTTAATAAGCATGCTGACATCGTCCACAGCAATCCAAAGGTCAACCCCGCCCCCTTACACTTAGCTTAAGACTTCTTTCTATTCCTTTGTCTCAGCAGCTTTGTGAATAGGTTTTAAGAGAAAACTCTTTGCTAAAAACTTTTACTGCTATTTAGGAGAAGTCTTGGTAAGATAAACATTTTTGTGAATACGGGCCCTGGTCTCATCATCATCAGTCTGTCTGGAATGACATCAAACAGAACAAACTGAGACAGACTCAATCCAGAAGAACTGTGGCGACGTCTCCAAGATGCTTCAAGAAACCTACCTGCAAAGCTACAGTACTGTTAAAAGTTTTAGGCACTTGCGTAAAAATGCTGTAAAATGAGAACGCTGTCAAAAATAATGTCATAAATAGATTTTCTTTATCAATTAACCTATTAACTACATAAAATCAACATTTGGTGTGAGCATCCTTTGTGTTTAAAGCAGCTTTTGCCCTCGGTGCACTTGCACAGTTTTTCAGGGAGCTTTGCAGGTAGGTCTCTTGAAGCATCTTGGAGACGTTGCCACAGTTCTTCTGGATTTAGTCTGTCTCAGTTTGTTCTGTTTCATCATGTCATTCCAGACAGACTGGATGATGATGAGATCTGGACAGTCACAAGCCTCCCGGTTTTCATCCAAAAAATCTTAAATTGTGTTCCGAAGACGAACGAAGCTTTTAGAGGTTTGGAACAACTTGGGGGTAAGTGATTAATGACAACATTTTCATTTTGGGGTGGAGTATCCCTTTAAGCTTTGACTTAAGTGTCAACAAATTCTTTTGTTGACACTTAAGAAGCTAAAAGCAACTTTCAGTAGTCTAAGTCTAAGACTGATTCTTAAGTGTTGACTGAGGTGACACTTAAGTGTTGTGAACTAAGGACTACAATGATGTCAACACAAATGGCTGAGCTCAGCCTCTGAATCAGCCAATAGTGAGCCTGCTCATGTGAAGTCACAGCAGCACAACACCAATCATTTAATGTAACTACAATAAAATCATTTAATTAAGACACTGAAATATTTTAATATTTAAATGTATTTTTTTAAATGCTTTGCATTGTGCAAAATTATCACAAATTATTACTGCTGCTTTGTTTTCTATTAGTATGTCTCCTCATTTACAGTTGGAGCAATGACGTGAACATGAGTTCCATCAATGGCTCCAACAACTCCAGGAAAGCCCACAATCCTCATAAAAGTGGCTTGTTTTTGCAATATTGTTTGGCGGTCAGTTGGAAAGTCAATAAACTGCCATATAGTACTGGCCAAAAGTGATGTCCAGCCTAGGAAATTTGACATCTTCACCCTTAACCTCTTCCACTCAACAAGTCAATGCTCTAACTGCAGAAATGAAAGTAGTAATTACATTTTTTTGGCTGGAGATCAGTGAACTGGCCTTTATGACGTCATGGGAGAGTCTTGGAATGTAGATAAGGTTTGTCCAAGAAATTGATTTTGTTGCTAGGCTTTTGAAAAAAAGTCTCTAAAGGGATGAGGAAGTGTAGTGACAAAAAACACTGACTACAACATACATTATTTACATTTCATTGGTCCTCTTGTTTTTGCATGTGTTCATCATTTCTTTGTATGACAGCATGGACAAATATTATGACCGCACAATTTGGCATGTTTCATTGCATTATCACCACAAATAAAACAACTGACTAAGCCACTATGCAATTTTTTTATTATTATTACATTTCTAACTTTGTCAGTTACAAAAAAAACAAAAAAAAGACTTTTTGATCTTGACAATCAAGTTTGTATCGTTTTATCAACTCCATATCATATAAGTCCAATATGTCATATTTTCACTAGAAAGTGTTTGTCTCCTCTTTGCTGCCATCTTGTTACTCCTAACTAGGTTAGAAGACCTCTTCAGCTCTCTTAAATAATTTAGGAGCTGAGACCTAGTCTTAAGACTTATGAACCTTTATGAATCACTCTTATTCTTAAGTCTAGGAATAAGAGTAAAAATACGTCATTCTTAGGATTTTGACAGACACACTTAGTACTAACATTTTACTCTGAGCGGCTTTATACATACGGCCCCCCAGGGCCCGTATTTATCAAGCCTCTGAGAATTACTCTCAAGAACGTTGCTAAGAATTTACTTAAAGGGGTGGTTCATTGTGATTTCACTTTCTTAACGTTAGTTAGTGTGTAATGTTGCTGTTTGAGCATAAACAATATCTGCAAAGTTACGAAGCTGAAAGTTCAATGCAAACGGAGATATCGTCTTTTAAAATTCCGGCAGTTTAATGCCTACAAAAATGGCTGGTAGGGACTACAACGAGTTACTTCCCGGGTTCGTGACGTAACAAACCCAGATAAACCTCGCCATCGGGAAAAGGTAGCAAAGGGGGCGATGCCATGCTGCACTGCTTTAGAGAAGAGGAAGAGAAAACTATGGTGCACATAAAAATCTATTCATACAAGAATCGCGATTCTGTCTTCTAACGATTCTAATGGATTTACAAGTTTCAAAATCAATGTTCTAAAGCAGCGGTTCTTAATACTGTTCCTCGTGTCCCCCTGCTCTGCACACGCTCTGCATCTCTCTCTCTCTCGTTCAGCTCACCTCCAACAATGAACTGTTACAATTATATGCTTATTTTCACATAGTTATGAGAAGTGTTAAACATGGACGCGCGTGCAGTTGCCGTACTGTATTAAAGCTTTAATCAGGATAAAACTGTATATTAAAAGCTAACATAAGCAGTAGCATTTACAAATAACAGCGTATCTAAAAGTATGACAACAACAAACAAAAAACATAGGCCTACCATTAAAAGCCTAGAGGCGGTTTAGCCAATCACAACACACTGGGCTAGCTATCCAATCAGAGCCCATCGCCTATTTCTGAGGGAGGGGCTTCATAAAAGAAGGAAATGATCAGCCCGTTTCTCAGAGAAGGGACAGAGAGGTGTGGAATAAAGGTAAATTATGTGAAAAATAATGCGTTTTTTAAAAAACAAAGTGTTAACACATGTTAGACTGCACCCCATAAACACAATCAAGCCTAGAAAAAACCCAGTGAACCACCTCTTTAAGTGTAAAAAAATTCTTGGCTCAAAGCTGCACTTAAAAGTTAGTTATCAAGCGTCATAATTTAAGTGAAGTGTAGGACTAAATCTTAAGGGTCAGTCTTAGAGTTGATTCACAACACTTTGTGCCACAAACGGGATTTTGGATAACGAAACACACATGGACCAATCACTGAATAGATTTCCTTATTTAAGAATATTCTCAGGTAAATTCACGTTGAATGGTTACATTTCTAATAGTTTACATTCAACACACATTTGACAATAAAGCATTTTCAAGAGAATAGCCTACATTATGGGAAGGAAACGAATTGTCATCACAACCTTCAATTTAGGGTTGTGCCGGTAGACGATAGTATCGTGTATCGACGATAGTCAGAGATATCGCCTGTGGCTGATTTTCTTTGACGACAAGAAGACGATTATTATCATTATTATTATCATCCATCAAAAATATAGGTGCCTATCTTTAGTGGTGCAGCGCAGAGAGCCGCTTCAGAAACTTGCCGCGGCGCAGTGGGTTGCCGTGATTTTGCCAAGTAAGACGTGTTCCTGGATCAACATCTTTTGTTAATCCTGGATCAACATAACTGTCCAAAAATATAGACTTAACCCAATCGCTACCCGTAAACCTAACCCTACCCATAATTTATTCCTAAAAACAGTGTGAAATGATAGCTGATTAACAAGGGTGTAGAAGCACCTAACCCTGATTGTAAGCGTAAAACAGATATTTCCTGAAAAGTTATCCCTCAATTCTGATTGGTTGATTGGAATGTTGTTCTAGGATCAACAAGGATGTTGATCCAGGAACATGTTGTACTTGGTGAAATCACGGTCACCAGTAGCCGTGATCAGCTCCGGTGGCCGTGTCGGAGCCGTAACGCACCGCAGGCGTGTGCAGTGTAAATAAGGGGTAAGAGATTTATTCATGATACAGTGTAGGTAGCTTCACTGATTATAACGGGAGTGTTTTTAAAGACCATATAATACTCGCACTAGACTGAAGTCAGTTATGATGTTCTTTGGTAATGTAAATATTCTTTGCTCGTTTCTGTTTAAATAACTGAGGAAATGTAACGGTTTTATAAACTGCTCGTCGTCAAACATTTCAAGAACATTCTTCCTCTCCTGAAAGATTTGCGCATGTCTCGGTCTCCTTAGCGCCATCACAAGCCCCTACTAGCAACTCCTAACCACTTGAGAGACCTCTCAATTTGTCTTAAATAACTGGGAGAGTTAGAGTGATTCTTAGCTTTAAGAATTTTGATAACTTGTTTTTATACTTAAGTTTGAAAGTAGGAGTAAATTTAATGAATTCTCAGCACTTGAGACTAAAATGGCACTTTGAGAAGCTTGATAAATATGGGCCCAGATCTCCAGGGGTGTGGACTCGAGTCCCAAATTTGATGACTTGCAACTCCACTCGACATAATTAAAGAAGACTTGAGACTCGACTTGGACAGCAATGACTCGAGACTTGACTTGGACTTGAGCCCTGTGACTTGTAAAGACTTAATGATCAGATCAAAGTCGTTATAGACGCGTCCCTGCAGCGTGCTTGCGCTTGACTGGCAATAAGCCGGATACTACGTTCAGGGAGCGCTGGATATATAGGCTAGTATAAATTACTGGAGTAATAACACAATTTACGACAAAAAAAAAAAAAAATCACATGATTCGTCTAGTAGCGATCTCCGCTCGTGAAAAGCGCTGCCCTGTCCTTTGATCGCCGCCCAGCAGACACACGGAGCGGGCATGAGCAACGAGATCACTTCACTGGAGCTCGCCTCATCATCACTGTGACCGCTGCTGTTAAATACTCCTCACTTCTTCTGTTTGTCCGACACCGAGGTGCACCATGAGTGACGGATCCGCATCCCGCCACGACCCTCGCTCTCTTCCAACTCGATCTGCTTTCATTTTAATTTTAATTTGTAATAAACACCTCTGAGACCTGTTTTTGTCAGATATCCACTGTTTTTGTTCGATCAGTTACATTTTATTTGCATGTGCATTTTATTTTATTTAAACCTCCATTAAATTTAAAGTTAATCCATAATCGAGATTTAAATCTGAGTTTAAACCTGCTTCTTTTTGAAGGTTTAAAGTTTGGTGCAACAGAATTATTAGATAAAACTTGATTTAATCTAGATTTAAAATTAATCACTGCAAACCATTGTGAAAATACTAGTGTTCTAATAATTTTGTATTTTATCTTTGACCCAGTTACGGTCTCGACATGTTTTCACACACGATTGCTCTAACTGTCTAATTGACATTTATTGTATCTCTTATTTGAAGCCCTAGAGCATATCCTGAAGCAGACAGCAGGAAAATACTGTGTTGGTGATGAGGTAATAGGCGTGATGTACTTTATCAAATATATAAAATATTATTAATATAAACAGCAGTATATGATATACACTACTGTTCAAAACTTTGCTTTGTTAATGCTTTTGAAATAAGTCTCATGTTCACAACATATAGAGTAGAAAAATAGAATAAAAACAGTAACTTTATATATTTTAACTTTAAATATTATGACTTAAAATCGCAGTTTTCCATTTGCATATATATATATTAAAATATAATTTATTTTTGTGATGGCAAAGCTGAAATTTCAGCATCATTACTCCGTCTTCATGTGTCACATGATCCGTCAGAATTCATTGTAACGTACTGACTTGCTGCTCAAGAAACTTTTTTTGTTTTGTTAATATCAATGTTAAAAACAGTTGTGCTGCTTAATATTTTTGTGAAAACCCATGATATTTTTTTCGGAATTCTTTGATGAATAGGAAATAAGTTTGCTTAAAAAGAACAGCAATTTTTTTTTTTAAACGGAAATATTTTGTAACATTTAATTGTCTTGAATGTCATTTTTGACAAAAACAAAAAAAAAAAATTACTAACCCTAAGGATTTGAACAGTAGTGTTTACAAAATCTAAACTCCGTTTTAACATGCTTTCAAATATTAACATTGCTACACTTCTAGGTATCCATGGCAGATATTTATCTTGTGCCTCAAGTCTACACTGCTGAAAGGTACGATGTCTCTTTAAAGCTGACATTAATGTTTATGCAATGCAAAATGCTATAATTGTCATTCTACTGTCTTTTACCAAAGGTTCAAGGTGGATATGTCCCAGTTTCCTACTATCAGAAGGTTAAACCAGACCTTAATTGAGATTGATGCTTTCAAAGCCACTCATCCATCACGTCAGCCTGATACTCCTGATGATTTGCGGGCATAATCTCAATAATGAAATCAATAAAACACTTTGATAAACAGTTGTGTGAGACTCTTCATTAATAAGACAGTTCGGTTTCTTTTTAGCAAAGTATTGCATTTATTGCTTTGGTGAAAAGACTATAGTCGCTTTTTGCAACTTTCAGACATCTATGAACAAGACATGAGCTGTACATACCAGTGACTTAAAGGAAAATGTGTGAGTGCAATGTGAAACATACAAAGTGGACAAAAATACAAATGTGAAAACGTAAAGTACGTGCAAAATAAGAGAAAACATTTATTGTACAAAAATACATCGAGTCTCTGAATGTACTAAATACAAATCTGAACTACACGAGAGAGAGTGAAGGCTTTGCTTGCTTTTAAGGAAATCAATATAAAAACGGTAGCTGTAAAACAGCTGTTCATGCTAAAACTGCATCAATGCAACGTTAAAAAACAAATGCTAAAAGTGCTTCTCAAGTTCAAGTTTCTTCTATCACGTTTCTGTAAGTACCCTAGATTAATTTCTAAGAGAAAAATCCTGTAGTCCCTGATCCTAAATGGGAAGTTCAACCGGGCATTTAACGGTGTCATTATAAAATGTTCCTGAACAATCTGACCCTCCAAATACTAGGATGTTGCCATGACGGCGATCCCTCGGGTCTGAAGATAAAGTCTTTGTAGAGCCCAGGCTTATCAGACTGTGGCCTGCGCGAGGCTTAGAGCAAAGCAATGGAGACACCACTGATGTCCATGAGCTTGTATCTGCAAACATGTATTGTTTTAACCTTTCAATCCATTCAGACTAATATCTGTAAACTAGTCTTTTAAAGAACCTAGAAATCAATGATTTGGGACTTCAAGTCTATTAGTTTTGAGGCCATCTATATGCTGTTATACACACTTAAATGGACACTTCACCCAAAAATGCTAAATCTGTCATTGTTTATTTACCCTTGTATTGTTTCATGCATGTATGACTTCCTTTCTTTGGTGGAACACAATGCTGAAACTGTTTTTGTCCATATAACATCCATCAATCTTTAACTGAACTACTTCAAACTGAAAACCTTCAAACTTCTAGCTTTTCAAACTTTTTTCAAACTTTCTGGTCTGGCTTTCTCAAGCCAACTTCAAAGTTTGTCTTCTCACATTTTTTTTTTTACCTAGTTTTAGTAGTGATTGTAATTATTTTAGTAACTTTTTTAAAAAATTGATTACATTAAAATAAGTTTTGAACAACAAATCTTAAACTAGGGGTTTCGAATATTGTTGTGGACAATGTTGGGCCTTGGAGTCATACACTGCTTTAAAATGAATAATCTTTCTATTTTGGTAAATACAGACCATACATTTTTATTGCATTAATTTTTTTGTAGAATAAAATTCTCTTATTCTGAAAATTGTTAATTGATAATGTGGCATAATACCACCTGCTACTGACTAGCAATAAGTAAAAAGGCTATATGCTATTTTCTATTTGAAAAAACCCATCAGTATGTCAAATGTATGATTGTGAAACCATTTCATAGGTCTTTAAGGTATTTCAACTCTATTAGCTATAATATATTTAGTTGTGTGTAGTAAATTATGGAATGACAGACCTAAGTTAAAGAGATGGAGGTCCTGTAGGGCTCCTACAGCACTGCAGCCTCCGCTGATCAGCACCCTGTTGTCAGACACGGGTAGAGCAGCGTGAAACCTGCACAGCAGAATGACAAAAAAAAACAACAACTTTACTTCAAAATACATACAGAAATGTAAGTAAATTTCCTTATTGAACTGTAACTATTTACAAATTCTGCATTATCAGCTTATTCTATTAAGTTCTTTAAAAGAATAGTTCACCCAAAAATGAAAATTCATTAATTACTCACCCTCATGTCGTTCCAAACCCACAAGACCTTCATTCATCTTCAGAACACAAATTAAGATAATTTGGATGAAATCTAAGAGCTTTCTGATCCTGCATAGACAGCAACGCAACTACCACGTTCAAGGCCCAGAAAGGAAGTAAGGACATCGTTAAAATAGTCCATGTGACATCAGTGGTTTAACCGTAATTTTATGAAGCTACAAGAATACTTTGTGAGCAAAGAAAACAAAAATAATGACTTTATTCAACAAATCTTCTCCCCCCAAGTTACCGTCCTACGCACATCATGGTGCTCTTGATAATGGCAACTCGGGGGAGAAGAATTGTTGAATAAAGTCATTATTTTTGTTTTCTTTGTTCACAAAAAGTATTATCGTAGCTTCGTAAAATTGCTGTTGAACCACTGATGTCACATGGACTATTTTAATGATATCCTTACTGAGTTTCTGGGACTGGGAACATTTCAGTTGCGTTGCTGGCTATGGGAGGTCAGAAAGCTCTCGGATTTCATCAAAAATATCTTAAATTGTGTTTCAAAGAACGAAGGTCTTACGGGTTTGAAACGACATGAGGGCGAGTAATTAATGACAGAATTAAAATTTTTGGGTGAGCTATCCCTTTAAAAAGTTGTAAAATTAATATTTTGAAGTCTTACCCACGGGCCAATGGTGGCATGTTCTCGTACTTTACAGCAGTGTATTCCATGAAGCCTTTTCCACAGGAAACAAAAGATTTGGTATACAAGACTGTGATTATATGAAAAACACAGCAGACAGTGAATACTTTCAGATGTTCAGGATCATTACCAAGATCCAGGATGTGAAGATCACTGAGGTAGGTGGCAGTTTTTCTCCCACCAAAAATGATCATCTTGTTTGACAGCAGCGTGGTGGAGTGCCTTTAATAAAACATACATTTTATGACGTAGTGGAAAACAGCAGAGGAAGAATAAAAAAGGGTTTTGAATGACATGAGAATGAGTAAATGACACGTTCCTGGTTTTAGTTGCATATACTGTGGATGGTGATTATGAAACTGGATGAAAAGACAAAGCAATATTACTTACCCAAACCTGGGCAGAGGACGGTCACCCTCCACAATCGGTTGATACCACAGACCATGTTCAGGGTTGAAAATGTACAATGCATTACTGCAAACACTGCCTTCAGGACATCGGCTGGGCTGCACTCCTCCAAATACATACAGCTCCTTCTTATAGAACGTGGCACTGTGGTACGCCAATGACGGTATATTTCCTTTTGCCTATCCCAACCCAAAACATAATACGTATATACAACCGGAAGTAAATATCTGCTACACCAAAACATACACAAATCATAAGAAGAAATAAATGGTCTAATACTCACAGAAACAAGCTTCCATTTCCAAGTTATAGTGTCCAGTATATAAATATCACTGTATCGCTGGGCGTCTCTCTGACCACCGTACACATACACCGCTTTAGACTCAGGATCAAAGGTTGCTGAGTGACCTTTTGAGATTGGTGGACTGACCTCAGACGATGAGACGTCCATGGGGAACCAGAAATCATTATCTGAGAATTATTACAGTTATAGGTATAGGTCATTATTAATAAGAAAATTGTAAAAGTAAAAAAACAAACAAACAAAAAAAAAAATGTAAAGGAAATGCCCCAGTTTGTGGTAAGAAACTTCTAGAAATATAATACAGTAAATAAATAATCTTAATTTAGAATGAATGAGTAAATAATTCTATATAATAATATTAATAATTAAATTTATGCGGG